CATCAGATTAAATTTAAATTAGAATCATAATTTTCATATGTCCCTATCTAGCTTAATGTCATCATATGTCACAGATATCATTATTAAACCTTAAATATTCATTAGCTTCTTTTAGACATTAAATAACTAAATATTTAACTTTTTAATATTCAGATAAAAAGCACAAATCATTCGACAAGTGTCGTAATTAGGTGTCCTAAGGCTTGTATGTCATCAATAATGATATTTTGTTAACAGTATTATTTATACATCTTTTTAAATTATTTTAGACTTTCAGAAAGAATTTTATACTCAATCATCTGTAATATTTTTAATATTGATATAGTTATCTACTAATTAATAATACATACCTAATTTCTAAGAAGATATTCTGAGTTGTAATTTTAATAGAATAGGATAATAAATAATTTTCCAATAGCGATTTTAGTTATTTTGTTATTATTCAAGGTTAGTCACAATATCAATTAAAAATAATTAAAATTTCTATTTATTTTGTATACAACAAAATAATTCAAAACACTTCAGTTTTTTTTAAGTTTTTTAATTTTAAATTTTTTTTTATATATTTTCAATATTATGCATATTTATTAAAAGAGTAAGAATTAACAATAAATGTATGATATAAAATAAAATTAATAAATTATATTGTACATAATATGTTTTCATTAAAAATAGTTCTAACATATTGTACATCTTAAAAAGAAAAACAGATCACCTAGTTATTTAAAAATTTAATTAATTGACTTCATACAGTTTGTAATATTTACAAATATTGAAGTTTTAATTTCAAAACTTCACTCCCTGAATAAAAGTTGTGCTTATGTATTATTGATTATATGAAATTGTTATCAGAACTCAAATAAGGAATTGAATATTACATTTTCAAGCTTTAAAATTAAAGCCAAAGTTTATAGAAAACATAAAAGCTCAAAATTTTTTTTCATGTCTAGAAAACGCTTATTTAAATATTTAGTTATTACAAAATAAATAATGAGGAACTTGTTAGTATGTTCAGTGTTGACATAAAAAATATGCCTGACCACCTTTTATCATGGTGGCTACACCACTTTTTATAACTAAAAAAAAGAGTTAACAATAATTCACTCAAATAAAAATATTGATATATTGTTAAATTAATAAATTTTAAAATAATGAAAGTTGTTTAAAACCTAATCTAACTAAATTCTATTATAATTTAAGAAACAGTATAATATATTTTTATTTTATTAAACGGATCAAAAATAAAATTTTCTCAAATCAAAACTCAAAATAAATAAAATAGTTATTAAAAGTGTCAAATATATATTATACACTGTCTCATGTAAATATAGCAGTCCATTGATTTTTATTCTAATCATATTGTTCCACCACATAATCATGTATATGATGCAAAGGTATAAAATATAAACAGTTACGTTATTATGTATGATATGTTACTTACATCAGTTTTAGGAGGCGATATACAAAATTGGATAAGTCCTATTTTGGCCTTCTCAATTTTTCTTGGACCATTTACATTTGAAGATTTTTGTGTAAACACTAAACCATCAATTAATTTGGTATCTTCAACAGTTCCTCCTAATTTTTTGATAACTTTTATATCCTAAATAAAATAAACATATTAACAAAAAGTTAATTTATTTAAAAAATTATATCTATTTATACTTTGAGATCCACGTTTGTATCTTTTGCAGGATCTACAACTTTTAGAACTGCATCAACAGCTAAAGGAGCTAATAATGACGATTGTTGAGAAACCACCTTGGAATTTAAAGCAGTTGAAGCACTTTTAACTAAACTTTCTCTATCAGTTAAAAGTATTGGAGTAGCCATATTTTTAATTATCTCAATAGACTTAGTTGCAGCTTTTTGAAATCCATCTGAAATTCCAGTAGGATGAATACCTTTTTGTAAAAGTTTTTCAGAAGCTTCCAATAAAGCTCCAGCTATAACAACCACACTAGTTGTACCATCTCCTGCTTCAACATCTTGGGCATTAGACAATTCAACTAACTAAACATAAAAACTCAACAAATTAGTATAAAATACCAATACCTATTATTAATATTAAATACATACAAATTATATTTATATTTTTTTTAAACTTTTAATAAATTAATAAAAATTCTTAAAAATATGATAATTATTAGTACTATTAATAATTTAATAATCAAAATGTTAAAAAATATTTTATTAACCATAAAAGTTATTGATTAACAATAGAAAATTTGAAAATTCGTCAGTTTTAAATTGTTGATATTTTTTGATAAAAAAATAAAAAAATTATAGAAATTAGTTTATTTAAGTAATGTAAAAGACTATTTGAATTAAATTAGTGGAAAACTATATATACTAATAATACCAGTTTAACTTAACCTAATTAACCAAAAAATTTAAGTTATAACTTTTTAAGTAAACCATTTAATTTCAGTGAAAAAGTTAATCAGTTGAAGTGAAGTTTTATAAAGATGATTTCATTACCCATACTAGCTACCTAAATAATATAATAACAATAATAATATAAAAAATTTAAATGTATAGATACAATTTTTAACTAAAATACTTAATTACCATTTTTGCTGCTGGGTGTATAACATTCATTTGTTTCAGAATTGTAGCACCGTCATTTGTTATAGCTACTTCACCATTTGCCGATTGAATCTAAAGATAAAATAAAATTATAGAATTAAAAATATATTAAGTAAAAATTAAATTGAAACTTAAATAAAATTCTATTTATTAGATTGTACTTATTAGTTAATGATTATTCTTATATGATCATTTAACTTAAAAATAATATTGTAACAGTATGTGCATAAATGCATTATGTATATAGTATATACTCATGTGTAGTATACAAATTACAGTAATTGATAAAAACAATTGTTTTAATTTATACTATTCATTTACACAAGACCATAGGACCATAAGTAGACATTTTGATAGATAAGTATTATAAAAATAGAAGATGTACAGGTACTTTAATCAAATTAAAGTTTAAATGTTATAAAAAATATTTTATCAATATTTTAATTTGTAAAATTGTTAAATTGTTAATACTGTTTACTTAAATATAATTATTTAATTAAGTAGATAACATATATTTACCATTTTATCCATTCCTTTTGGACCCAAACTTGTACGGATAGCATCAGCGACAGCTAGAAACAAATATAACATATTCATCATTAACTAATAATATAGACACATTTTAAAATAAATAAATCTAACTATAGAGGTAGATCTCATAAATTTGAGTTTAAAAATTATAATACAAAAATAGTTTGTTCAATATCAACAAGACCTTAAAATCACATTAATTAAAATATTAAATTTTTAAATTTATAGATACAGTTACTATCTTAACTGAAATAACAAACTGAAAAATGGGTAATTGGAAAACATCAAAATCATCTTTTTTTTCTATTAATTAACATAAAAATAATTGTTTAAATACAATATTCAATATTTGAATTAGTGTATTATATAAAACTCAATTAGATATTTCGAAATAAACAAAACTAAATAATAATAATTGTTGTATATTTCGTTCAAACCTTTAGCGGCCGAGATGTTGCTTTTTCTTATTTCGGCTGGTTTACTTTTGTCTTTATAGGCGTTAGTCGCCTGTTTGGAATCACCAGATCCCGAAAACGCAACCATAGTGAAGTTTTAGAACGTTATTCAACGGATTAAAATGGATAAAAACTTAAGAATCGTGAGAATCTAAATATTTTGTCGGTATACTGAATAGACATATAAGTATATAGCAAATTGCATTAACAAAAAAGATTGAAGTAGATAATCATGAGTTACGAATGTACGATATTTTATGGTTACAGTCTTACTAATAATAATGAAGTTAGCTACGAAATAGTCTTATGTTAACAGGTCACTAGATGTCGCTGTAAAACCATAGTTTTTATTGTAGCTTTATATAATAGTCTTGTGGTTCTATAATCTATAGTGATAATAAACTAACAGAACCTTATCACTGTTATTGGCTAATGGGCAACGAGTAACGACTATTTTTCTAAGATTCTATCGAATACCGATGTCCGATTGTACATTTTGTTTTTCACTTTTCATTATTATTTTGTTAATCACTATATGAGAACCGAACTGTTTTCACATTGTTAAACCCTCATGCAGCATCATCTATTAAAACAAAGACACAATATATACAGCTTTGAATAATCAACAAGCGACCATAATCTGCTTTCCTCAGCGAATGCTGGTATGTATATGCAGGCCACAAATCCCCTAAGGCTGAACAATAACGTTACACGATTTTTGGAGGATTCACGGAACATGCCCCGAGTTTTTCTACTTACAATTTGTGGATGTTGACAACATTCATAAAACTGTGTCAGATTTCTTCACAGACTAGCCGAAGACAGTCATCTTAGACATCTTGTTCAACCATCCTTTTCACGGACTGACATCCGCCCGCCACTCTAGATGCATAATATTCTTGGCTAATCAGATATTGCCCTCAACAACTTGGCGAACTCTTTCTCTACAGATTATACCTAACCTAACTTGTTGTAACTGCCGTTAATTTACTTTTAAAATTAATACAATTTATAGGTATAATATTATGAAGAAAAAAAAAAAAAAATGTTTTTTAACCTAAGTCGTAGTTGTTATAGTAGCCCATAGCCATAATTACAAATCATAGCTCTGTTATAAAATATTTTATAACAAGTAACTATAACTATTATTATAGTTTATATTGTTTATAATATTAGATATAAAGCAAAAACGCCCTATATGACATACCACATACAAAATTATCACATAAAATATCATAACCCAACATCATCCTAGTTTGAAAGTAAAAACAAAATATTCTAAAATGTATTCCAAATATTGTTTATAATTAGTACTCGAAACTTATTGCATTAAAAATCATAAAAATGTCCAAACATTTTAATAAAAATCTGTAAAATCTTTAAAAAATTATATTTATATAGTTAGAAGTAATCATCGAGCCTTAAAGATTTTGAAAAATTAAAAACAATTTTTTTATTTTTACTGTTTATATTATTGTATATTAATTTACCTTGGAAATCACATTAAATAATAAAAGATTTTTTGATACTTTAGAACTTATAAGTATAACTGTTAGAAGTAAATATATTGTATACAGTATATTTTTGTACATTTAAACAAATGATTAAAATTTAAAAGAACACTTTATCACACGTGTGTCTCTGTCTTGCATACGTACAACATAGTAAAAACCATTTCACGCAGACAAGAACCACTCGGACTGTAATTCAAATTAAGCAATCAAATTTTCACACTATTCTAGAAAATTATAAAGATTAAATACCTGGGTATACACCTTAATTTCTGTCTGAATTGAAAACATCACGTCCTCTAAAAGAAATTATATTTTTAAGTTTTATAAGCTAGTTAGAAAATGCTTTTAACTAAAGACCTAGTAAACAAACATCTTCTATAGCCTATAGGTATAAATACAGTGATATAAATTGAATGACTTCGATCTTCTATTAATTTTCTTTACTTGTTGAGTTAATAAGGATGTGGACAAATAAGTTTCAATTTCCTTATTTTAATCTTCCAATTATGTAAACCTAGCATTAACATTTTTCAGGTAGGAATTTGAAATAAAAGTCAAATTGTTAAAATAATGAAACAAAACATGAACACATTAACAATTAAGTTAAAAATGTATTAAATAAATGAGCAATCTATTGTATTAAAACCATTTATAATTTGATCCTAAGAACTTAATTATAATATAAAAATTATTTTTTTTTGAAAACAAAAATAGTAATGAAAAATATTATAATTTATTATTTTGTGCAATGCAATTTAACCTCTTTGGTTTACATTAAACAACTGAATATAAAAGAGATAAGAAAATAACTATTTTTTATAGGTGATAGAAATTTAAAAAAATAATTGTGTAACTCATGATTTTTTTACCAAGATATTGCCGTCACAAAAGTAAAGACTTCACTATTAAATTTAGAATCTATCCTAAAATATGGAAAAATTAGAAATACTAGTATATTAATAAAAATTACAGAAAAAATAATATTAATAATCTTAAGTATTAGAAATTAAATTGAAGAAATGTTAAAAAATAGTCTTCTTTCTATTTAAATATGTATTGTTTAATGTAAAAACTTGATTGACTTTGTGATTTTTGACTTTTGTGAATATTGAAAAATCCTAAAATTTTAAATTGTAAGTGGCATTGAATTTTTAGAAATTGGAAAAATAGAAAATGGTTGAAAATGTTGAATATTTAAAACTTCGTGAATAAGTGATAATTGGATTTAAAGTTGAACCTAAAGTAACAACAATTAGAGAAAACAACTCTTTTATTTATTTATCATCATTCATAAATTAACAAAAAAAAAAAAAAAATGTTTAAATATATTATCAATTATACTATCTTTCAAATAGATTAGTAACTAATTTAAGAAGTAATACTTTTAAAAGATAATAAATGACTCATTGGGTATTTTAATATTTCATAAAAAATATTTAAATAATAGGTATTTACTAATTAGTAATTACTATCTAATTGTAATAACTTCAAAGCTATTTAAAACTTACTCTAATTTGTTATAACATTTATTAGAACTTAAAGAAAATACATTACAAAGTAGTTGAATTAATCTTATGTGGTAAATCTTGTATAGTAAATATATGCTTGTTCTAGATTGTTTTCTTTTGTATATGCTTCTGCCACACTGATTAACTCTTGTCCTGATTGGTAATATCTATAACAAAATCAAATTATTGTATTTCATATTATACTGTATTATATAGTTAATTTATTATATACAGATATACTGCAAAATTGTACTTTCTAGCTGCTATATTTGTGTTTAACTTGATTCTTCGATTTAATATCATCAATGTCTTTATCCTTTTTTTCTGGTGGTTCTATATCATTAATACCAATAAGATTATGACTCATATTTGATTTATATATTAGTATATTACAATCAAATTAAACTTTGTATGAAATGTTTAACTATCAAGAAATATATCAAACTGTATAAATATTAAATAATAAAAATGACGATATGAGATTTGAATACTAGTGCTAATATGGAGTATTTTTTAACATATAATTAAAACACAAATAACAACTTACTACGGATTAAGATGTTATAAATAATAATAATTTGTTTATAGAATAATTTTGAAATTAATTTATGCAGAAAATAATTATTGTAGAAGCCCTAACAAAATACCTAGATGAAAAAATATCAAATGATTTATAATATCATTTATTTTATATCATAATATTTTTTATTTAATACCTATTACAATAATATTTTAAATTATAACATTATACCATTTTTTATTTTATAAATTTTAAGAATATTAAAAAAAAAAATTGAATAGAATACAAAAATTTTTTAAGATATCAAATGTGTATAAATCATTAATTAACGAAAAAATAAAATATTAATTTATCATAATGTAAATATTGAAATATATAATAGATTTCAAGCGGCCTCACTGCTTTGTAATGGTTGTGTTCAATTACTTCAATTTGAGTATTAACCTAAATTGATGCATACGAAAAACGATTCTGATTCTGGGTCCAACTGCTTTAAGGATATATTTTTATAATTTATTTATATTACTAGGCAAGATTACAATATTGTTTATACCTATTAAGTATTATATAGTTATTTGGTTGGTTCGGTTTAATTATTAAAACATTATATTATTAATAATAATAATATTACCTATGTTATTATGTTAACATGTTAACATGTAAATATAGACTATAGTCAATACCATCTACGACGTAGGGTTTCGTTAATAGATTCATTGTTGTACAAATATTTTAAAATTACTTGACTTAATATTTAAAAAAATAACAATATGAGTATATAATATAATATTATTTTCATTGTTTTTAAATATTTTTTAGAAAAATGTTTAAGCCTTAGATTTAAAACTCAAAATTTTTTGAAAATTAATTTGAACTTCAAACGCAATTAAAAAAATATTGTTTTAATTTTCGATAAATGTATATTGCTATGAATAGTGAATACTATGATAAAAGTACCTATAACTTATAGGTTATGCTTATGACTTATGAGGAATACATTATGTTATATTTTCATACATTTTAACCAAGAAAAAAATATATACTAACGCATGTATATAAAGTAGAAAAAAAATCAAAAAAAATCATAAATAGAAAATTTAAATTAATTTTCCAATTAAAACAAAACAACAATATCGAATTTCTTAAAAACTGATATAAAGTAAATATTCCAGTGCTTTCGTAATTAATTTTTAATTTTACCAAATAATTTTTAAAAGTAATGAGAAATTTTCTTTTTCATCTACGCTAACAAAAATAATTTTTGTACTTTTTTTTACAATAGCATTATTTATAAATGTATATACCTAACTTTTATAAAAAATAAAAAATAATTCTAGATTTTCGATCAACATTTTGTTAATCCACGTGTGGATCCTACGTAAGCGTGTCAACAAGAGATAAAATTTTCAATTTTCATACAAAACATTTTTAATTATTATTTATGAAAAAAAAAACTAAAATTTTCAAATTTATATAAAGTTTAAATAGCCCAAAAAGTTAATAGTCAAAATTTAAATATGTAATGCTTTGTTAAACAATGCCTTTTTTTATTGTATTAAAAAACATAATTAAAATCTATATGTATGTTTATACAATAGGTCATTTTTAAAATAGATTAAATTTAGATAAATTACTGAGTAGAAGGTACTCGGTAGTACCACACTACCACCAGTACCATCTGACCAACAGGCTATACCTAAGCATGAAAATGTTATAGACATAGATAGGTTAGGTAGGTACTTATCAATAAAAATAAAAGATACTATTATAGCATGTACTTATGCATAATATAGTACTGTACTACTGTGTATAATGCATAGACCTAGTGTAAGGTCTATGGTATAATAAGGAAATATAGGTAGATCCCTAGTATGTTCTCAGTAGGTAATAAATAAACCAATCATATCCGATATGCCACTAAATCATGTTTTAATGTTTACCACTTTCTTGCCATTCAGCGATAATTTATTAAATGTTAAGTGATTGTTCATGAAACTCGGTATTAAATTTTAATATTGTACAAAACAGGACCCAAATAAGTAATAATTAAAATAATTAATAACATTATATGATGGTTTATATGTTGACGAATTAACTTTGAACACAGGATAATGATGTTTTTATTTGTTTATGATATAGGAAGCTGGATGACTTTTAAATGCATTGTTTATTATACACTATAACTTATAAAGTTATAAATATTATAATACAAATAAACCGTTAATTTTGTTGTTCACAAATTACTTTGGAGATTTTTCTTTTTAAAAATTATACATTTGAATCAAGGCCGTACGAAGAGAGGGAAGTTTAATTTCTCTCTTCCTGAATTTTTTTCTCATTATACAAACTTTGAAATTTAACATCATTTTTTTATTATTAATGTAATATTAATAATATAATACTATAACTCAAACCATTTCAATATAGGGCCATAGGAGCAGGTGTAGCGTGGTGTTTAGGCGCAGTCATTGAATAATGCTATAATATGATCATTATTGCCAAAGCATAATAATAAAAAAAAAAATACAATATAATATTAATACGGTATAGATTAAATTTCCTAATCAATATTAATCTTTTAACGAAATACAGGTAGAGATCTATGTAAAAGGGTCTTAAATAATAATAATCTTGAAATCTTTGTTACACTCATTCTAAAGTATATTATAATTTAATAATCGCATTTATTAAAATAACATAACTTTCTTTTCAAAAAAAAAAAATTAAAAACTATTTGTTAAACGCTATTGCTGAAGATAGACTAATCGATTTAGCATTATTTAGTTAGTGTACATAAAAATATTCACGTCGATTCTGAGAAAGTAATCAATCGTTTTCCTAAAGAAAAAAATAGAACTTTAGAATTTGTGCTGTAAAATTGAATTTTATTTTATGTATTATGCGTATTTAAATAATTATTTACAAACTTTATTAATGTAAATATGTGTTGGTGGTAGGTTATAGGTGCTTAATATAAATATATGATTAATTACTTTAAAGTTTAAACATTTAAAAATTGTTCGTTATTTTATACATCAACCGGTAATCATTTATTAAGATTTATATACTCCCTTAAAAAAAAAAAAAAATTGTTGGTAGGTCCTTGATAGTTGATTTTAATGTTTAAATTACTGCTAATAATAAATTTATGTTAAAGTCAAATGTGTTAAAGAAAAATTATAATAAAAATAATAAGTGTATTTAAGTGAAAAAAGTCTTATAATTATTCAATGTGCACTGGTCACCTTATTCACAACAGCATTAACAAAGAAGTCATTGCCAAGAGAAGAAAGGTAATGTAATGATTTATAATTGATCTAAAGGTGTATAGTCAATAACCTCTGATATATATAATACCCCTTCATTTCCAATATCCTTTTTAAATCATTACATAATATTATCTATTAGTTATTACTGCCTATATTACCTATATTCTATAATAAATAACATTAAACAATTAAGAAGATTTAAGATGTATCTATGTATAAGCTATAATATAGGTAGTATTTTTTTTTTTTAATAAAAATATAATAGAAAAAAATTGACAAACTACTCGACCCAGTCTTCCAATTTCAAGCTATTCTATAATACCAGCTCAAATCCGCCCAATTATAAAATTTTTCAAATGAATCAGGATAATTTTAATAATATAATTGATTTTGTGAAATATGTTTTACTTACCTAACAGTAATATAAATAAATATAATTTATTGAACAGAAAAAACAATTTGTTGTAACAATTTTATTTTGTTAAGCAGTTTTTGCTCATATTTAAATATATATTAAGTACATAAATATACATTAATACATTTGAAATTATTAGGTACTATTTACTAATATAAATACAATGTGAAGTTTCCGATCGTCTGGGAATTCTTTACAATTCACGCATTTCTAAAAACATTGATCTTGTTCAGTGGTGTATTTAGGCTTTTTTCATTGGGGGGGGGGGGGGATATGACTTTATAAATGAAGATATCAAAGATATCAATGAGAATAATGTACAACATATCATAATATTTTAATTCTTGCAAATTTAATCAATTATTGAAAAAAAAAAATATATACATATTAATAATTTTTTAAATATTATGACTATAAATATTTGTGTATACAGCTTATCCCAGATTTATTCCTTTGATCCTCCTCCCCCCCCACCCATAAATATGCCATTGGTCTTGTTGTGTATCTACCCTGTATTTGTACATCCACTTTCCAGTTTCGAATTCTTTAATTCTTAAAAGTTACTTTATTTGTATCGATCGAGGTCGGATATTGGAGTTTAGGGTGAAACAATTTTACAATTTTACAATTTTATTTGGTTGTTAACGTTTTTTCCAGGTTCTCGTAACGAGGTCACGAGGATAAACCGTTTGCATTGTCTGCTTTGTTAATTTTCTACTTTAAGTAATTATAAACTACCAATCCAAATTAAACTTGTACATAAATTCAAACATCTTGACATCTAACCACTGGAAGTAGCTGATAGCTTAGTCATAATTGTTGTCATAAATAGTTATTTAGTTGTTTTTTATAAACAATTTATGGGGTTTAAAGAGAAATTAGTCATTAAGCAATATATTTTTTTTTAGAAATAAAATTGATACGTTAAATCTGTAGCCTGTAAACAGATTATTCAATTATTGGTATATATTATAGTCATTCAATTTTGCTCGCGATTCGTTCAGAATACTATAATTTCGAAAGTTACTATTGTTGTTAATTTATAAATTTATTAATAGTAAAATATTTTATATTATTTTAACTAATATCAAAACACAACCGATAATAGGTTCTAGCATGTATGATGTAAGTTAAGTAGGTTACGAAACTTATATACCTATTATAACTAGTAACTTGTATGCGTATTATTTCATCATATATTATTAATTGCTACTCATATAATATAATAAATTAATACTTGTATGTTATTGTTTATTTTATATGTACAGAATATTTTAACATTATATAATAAATATTAAAACCTTAGCCTAACATGAATATTTTATTTACTCATATGTAATTAAAATGTATTCATGATTCGTGATATAAAATGTTCTGATTTGATAACTTCAATGAGTAATGACCTACATAACTAAATAAATATTAAAAAAAGTTATTATACAAAAGAAAGTATCTATTTACTATGAGAAGAGGCGTTTTATCATGTGTGTGGATTACACTTACATTTTAGAATACTGAATAGTTTTAATAATTCGCCATCAATCATAAAACACGATTTGTTTGTAGACATAAACATACGCAAGGAAAAATTCAATATCGAATATCGATTATTCTTTTTTTTCAATATAATGCAATAAATATTATTCATTTGAAAATAATATTATCATTTATTATGGATTTTTGCCAAACAGCTGAGTCTTTTTGCACGTATAGATAATAAATATGATGAGATAATGGAATTGGCAGCATAAACTATTTTCCATTTGGTAATACGGGAATGAGAGATAATTGGTGTCTAATACTGTCTATTGTGTGTGCGTTGTTGTAAATTGAGTAATATCTTTCAAGTTTTTTTTTTATCAGTATTCAGTACTCAATCATACTTTTGATCGTGCTGTATACTTTTACGAATACTGGCAATTAATTCGATAACTACGAAAATGTTAAAAATCACTGATGGAATAGAAAACATTAATAATTGAATTATTCCAACATTTTTTGAAACAATTTGATTCTATCAATATGACTGTAAGTACTATTACAATATGGTATTTGTTTATAATGACATTACATTACATTGACACATAAATATACATAATTATTGGTAACTAATTGGTTATTTACATTTGTATTATTGTATGTAGACTGAGATCAATGGAGACTTCAACATTAATGATGGACATATCAAAGTCCAAACAGCAAAACCAGGGCAAACAAGTTTTGTGAGTACCTAGTTAATGATTTTAAATTAATTATGAACTAATTATTATAGATTGTTATGAAAATTAATTGATAACCTAACCTACTATTATTACCTAAATTATAATTACAATCACCAAACAATTGAAGCAAAATGTTCATTTATAAGAATAAATATTTTCAATCTAAACATTAATCATTTGTGTATAATATATATTATATTTATTATAGGTACTATAAAACTTACAGTAAATTAATGTTCATAATACTGTATAATAATTCTAAAAACTCCTCGTATTTTCAAATGATCCTGGTATTGTAAATCAAAACTCGTTCACATTGCATGTTATTTTTTATAAATATTTAGTTTTTTCAGTTTATAACGATTACATTTTGACTAATAAGCAATATTAATTACACAAATTCTACAAACTGTATTATATGTTACCTAGTTAAAACACAGATAAGGGGATTATTATAGTAGTGGGATAAAGGTTAGGTTATTACCTTTATGTATGTAATAGGTAAAAAAAAAAAAAAAAGATTATGAAACAAATTTTAACAAATTATTTTATTAACTAATAAATTTGTGCTCTGTTCTTTTAATTAATATATTATCATTATTTTTTAACATAATCATAATATATCATTGATTATAAAACACGTTCTCATGGTTATATAAAATTTATTCACAATTTTATTTGTATAAAATAATTGCATTTAATTCCTGTTTGTCTTTTAAATTATTTCTAATGTGTAATAGTATTCATTTTTTTTTCAATATAATTTAGTTAGTACTATGGGATGTCAAAAATTAAAAAAATTGTAATACTTTTCTCAGTAACTAAGAAAATAACAAAATAGTGGGAAAACTGTTATATATATATATATATATATATACATATGTGAAATATCCATAGACTTTAGGTCTTGAAAATTTACTTAAAAACTTAATTAAATGTTTGTCTAAGTCAAAAAAATTAAAAATATAATGAGTACAAGGTTTGGCAGAATTTGTTCGTATAAATCAATATAAAATATCAAAAAAAACATAGGCATAATACTTTTTATAACATTTGAAGATCAAGTTTTGATAAAATTATATATTTAAACAAAAAATAAATAAATTGTATTGAGTTTGTATATTCAATTTAAAGATTGATAATATTACAATAAGTAATGGGCTGTAGGTATTCTATCATTTTTTTTTTTTTTTTTAATAATTGCTATTAAGTGTTTATGGTTATAATGTAATGCATTTTTTTCTCATTTAATTTTTTTTTCTGTTAACACTTAAGCTTTAATTAAGGTAATTAATATTTTTGCTTTTGTCAAATTAAATTTATATATTTTTAATCTTTAATTTATTCGACATATGTTCACATATATCACAAATTAAATTACACATTTCATAATCAGTATGTTTATCAATTATATTAAGGTCACAGGAATGAGAAGTTGAAAAATAATCATATTGATATTAATCAAAAGTTAATAGGTAGCTTAAATTTTTGTTTAAAAATGTATGATAATCATAGTTAGAATTGTAAATAAATTTTAAATATTAGAATTCAAAATTATTTAATTTATAGAAAACAAGATACATTTTTAGATTTTGTTGAGATTTAATAATTACAATGTAATTTTAATTTTTATAGTTCATTATAAAAATATTAAAAATTAAATTAAATAATACAACTAAATTATTTTACTTTATTATTATTTTACAGAGATATTTAAAAAAAAACAACTTAGTAAAGAGTTATATACTTGACAAGAAATATACGTAATTTATTAATTTTTATGCTGAACATAGACTCTGGTTACCTTACTAGTAATCTCATTTACAATCTAAAATGTATTGAATTAGTTTTAAAATTATATTAAATTGATTATAATAAGTATGAATATAAATATTTGATTCTTTTCATTATTTAAAATTTTAAATAGTTGACGGAATATATTCATAGTAGTTTGAATTTAATTATTAAATTAACAACTTTTTACAATACTTATTATTTTTACAGATAAATTTATTTAATCAGATATTTATTTATTTATTTTTTTTTTGAGTTTTGGTTAATAATTTTAAATTTTAATCAGTATTTTCAAGTTTTTTAAATTACTTTTATTAGTTATTTATTTTGTTACATATTAAACTTCTATGTAATATTAATGATCAAAAATTCATAAAAAATAAACTATATATTGTCATAAATCTTACTTATGCATATAAAACATAATTATGTTATAGATGTTTAAGTTTATCACATAAATTATTAAATTTAAATTTAGGATACATTGTTTTATAATTTATATTATATCACAATATAATAATACATCTCATCCAAATACATTTGATCTTAACAGAATAATTTGAAAATGTTAGGCTTTCTGATATTTGACATTGCTTATGACAAAAATTCAGCATATTACTTTAAAAACTATTATTTAACTGACAATGACATGGTAGTTATTATTCCAGCTACAATAAATATAATCTAACTAGGAGCTAAAACATTGTTATTAATAAAACAGGTAAATTAATACTAGAAATCTAGAAATCTGCATTTTTAAGACTTATTTTGAAAATAATAAAATTTAACAGTTATTCAAAGGAAAAAATTCTGAAAAATCGTTAGTTATTTTGATTTCATAGAATTTGTATAACACATGACTATTCTGCATTAATTTTTAATAAACAATTAAATTTCAATACCTATATTTCTTTGGAAAGTATAAAATGGATTAAATTACTTAAGTATGAAAAATATTTTAAAATTGTAAGAATGTAAAATAAACATTTTGCCATTTTATTCTACATTTATGAATCTAATTTCTATAAGTGAGCTATGCATTAGTGTAAAAAAACATTAAGGTTCTAGATTCTAATAATAATTTATCTGATTTATAAAACTGTGTCAACTTAGTAACTATAATACTTAAGATAAGAAAATATATAACAATTATTAATATATATAAAATTTAAAATTTGATGTAAAATTTTATTGTTTTAATAGTAAAATATACCTAGAAAGAAATAAAATTAATACAATGTAACTAAAGAAATATGTCATATTCCTATAACCTCTAAATTTAAGATTTAAATTTGCTTATATCATTAATTTTATATTTATGTTAACTAAAACTGACAGGCCATCAATTAATTGTACATTTTCTATTAGTTTTATTGTTTAATTTATACACATTTTTTGGTTGATATAAAATTTGAATTACATTAAGTTTTGCTAAAATCATTTATAAATTCTTATAGTTATGATTTGTATTATATATATATTTGTATGTGTGTTTATTGTTTATATATTAATTTTAATCTTTTTCATTGGGTAAACATTTATGTAAATTATTATTAATTTAAATATTATGTATTCATTATTAGTTTTTTCTGCATTATTCCCTTACGTCATATAGTATGTGATTATGATAACAAATAGGAGTAGGAATGTATAAACATTTATTTCATCAAGTACAAAAATATAATCTGTATTCAAATTACAACAGTCAAACTATTAACACTACTTCAATTTAATTTAAATCTTAAATTTATGATTTTAATATTTTAAAAATCTATATTTTTTTTTAATAATAAATATACAAAGTAAGTTAAGTTGGTTTTTATTGAGTTTTTTAAACATGGTTTAAGAATTAATCTAATCATATTTTTTATGAATTGGGGTGAATACACAAAATAAAATTATTATACTATTATAAATTAAAAAAAAAAAAAAAAAAAAAAATTATCACTTCACATAATTAAATATTTAGTCTTAAAAATCCATGCAAAGAATAATTTACTATTAATTTGTATATATTTTTTGATTTTTAAATTATTTTTTTAGAATACTTTTAAATTCAAAAATAGTATTTTATTAAATGCATATATATTACATTTTAGGCAAATTGTGATAAAATGACTATTAAAACTACTAGAGTTAATGAAGACAAACCACTATTAACTGGTACAGCTACACTCTACAACGAAAATGGGTAAGTTGAAATTAATATAGTATAATAAATATTAAATTTATTACAGACAGATTAAAAATTGCACTATTATTAAATTTATTGTAAAAAAAGGATATCTATCTTTTTAGATGTTTTTATTTATTTTAAAGGAAAACGATATTCTTTAAGTATAGTCTTACATACAAAATCCTTAACATACAATTAAACATTTTCAATTTTTAATTTTACAGAATAAAGTATATTAATTTAATTTATCATGTATGTAAAAAAAAAAAAATTAAATGACTAATTATTATTATTTAAAATAAATACCTTTATTGATATTACAGAAGTAATTTCCTCTCTTCAACTCCTAGAATATTACCTAATACAAACATTTCTAGTGGTCCAGTGAGTGAATCATTGGAAAAAAATAGCGTTAATAGTGGATTAACATCAGATTATAATCCATTACTAAACCGACAATTAGAAAACCCTACATCGTAAGTTTTTCAACATTTAATTTTATATTATTAATTTTTATGTGTAGTATAAATTTTTAAATTTTATGTTTATTATTTTTGACAAACAAAATATTCTTTTAAAATAAGTAATGAAAGAATGACTGGATGTTATGGTCTAAGGTATTTGTATTAAGTTATTTATCAAATGTAAACAATAAAATAAAAAATAATACACAATTTTTTATCTTTTAATCACGTGAACTAAGACTTGTAATTCACGTGTTATTTAATAATTTTACAATATTTTTGTGAAGGTTTGATATAAATTTCTTATCATAAAGTGTACAAGGTTTAATTATTTGAATAGGTAGAAAAAATTCCAATATGTACCCAAAAGTTATCAATAAATATTTATCTTAACTATTTATTGTTTATATTTGATAGGCTAATTAAGTTTATATTAATATGTGCCAATTATTATTTATCAAAAACAAATTATCTTAATTTTAAATCAAAATCACTAAATATAATATACATATTATATATAATTTGTATTATAATTTATTTTATCCTAAATTAACAATCAATATAATATTATTAGTACTAAAATTTATATTTTATTGCATTACATAAATGTATTTTGTTAGTTTGTTTTGAATATTAATTTTATTTTTATTTTACTTAGGAATTTTGATACCATGATACATTTATTAAAGGGAAATATTGGTACTGGAATTTTAGCTATGCCTGATGCGTTCAGAAATTCAGGATGGGTTGTAGGTTTAATATGTACTTCACTTTTGGGAGCTATTTGCACACATTGTATGCATATGTTGGTATGAATATATAAAACTAATTTTAATAGTTAATTATAATAAATTTTATTTATGGTAACAAGTTGATTGTCATTTATGTTTAGGTACGGTGTTCTCATGAGTTGTGTGTCAGAACACAAAGACCATCTCTTTCATTTCCTAATGTCGCAGAAATGGCTTTTGAATATGGCCCGCCCAAATTACAAAAATATTCATCAGTTGCCAGTAAATTTATTAATACTTTCTTAGTTATGACTCAACTGGGCTTTTGTTGCGTGTACTTTTTGTTTGTAGCCACTAATTTACAAGAAGTAAATAATTTAAAAAAAATTTAAAAACTGATTAACTAAAACTGTTAAATATTTTTAGGTGATAACTCATTACTTTTCTATAAAAATGTCTGTTCAGTCATATTTGCTTATATTATTGGTGCCAATGATATTTTTGAATTGTGTGAAGAGTCTAAAGTATCTAACTCCGGCATCTTTTTTAGCAACCATATTGACTGTGATTGGATTAGGAATTACTTTTTTCTACTTACTTCAAGGGCTTCCAAAGACATTAAATGTCAAAGCTTTTTCATCTTGGCAACAATTACCCCTTTATTTTGGAACTGCAGTATATGCATTTGAGGGCATTGGAATGGTATATTATATTTTTAAATCTACAAACAAGATAAATTTAACAGTACATTACACCTATATTTTATGTACTTATTTTATGAATAGGTTTTACCATTAGAAAATAATATGAAAAATCCTGAATCTTTTGGTGGAATGACTGGTGTTTTAAATACTGGAATGGTTATTGTAACCATCTTATATACATCAATTGGATTTTTTGGATATTTGCGATACGGAGAAGCTGTTAAATTAGGAAGTATTACATTGAATCTTCCTGCTGAAGATTTGTAAGTAAAACATAAATTCAAATTATTTTATAGTTTTCAAAAGTAAAATTATTACTTAAATTATTATAATAGTTATTTTCATTTATTAAGTAAATCATTACTTCAATGTTATGATGGATTAGAAAATAATCATCCTTATTCTAATTTCTACTTTAGTAATTTGTCAATCATATTTCAGAAATAAAATTTATTAGAATATTGTGAATATTTAGTTTTGTTAATAATAAATATTTAAAAGTCAATTAAACAATATTTATAGTAACTTAAAGGTTATTTACAATATTTATATAATTTCATGGTTTTTAAATATATTCATTGTACATAAAATTTAAATTTACAGTTTGTACTTATGAGCTAAGATATAATCAATTGTTAAAATGTAAAACATCATATACCTAGAATTATCTGTTTTAACATTTTAAACTTTGTGCTTTAATCAATGATAAACTAATGTAAAAATAGTAAACTCTTAAGATGTATAAATTTAAAATACTTAAACATATGAATTAAAAACAGTAAGGCTTAAGTAATCTTTTTTTGTACTTTGTCTAGTTAGAAATTTAAAGTTTTCTTTTTAGATTTACTAATTTTAATAATAGTACATTGACTGACAATAACGCAAGTACTTAAACTTATTTAATTGCTGTTCATATTACTGAAAATATAAAATGCATAAATAACTAACCTATATGTATACCTCATTATACTAATTAAAAAATATTGTTTAATGATCTTGATAAGACTATTGAACTATTTAGCATGTTGTAATAAGTATTTTAATCAGCACAAATTATAAAATAAAATACTACTTTTTTTGTATTTTATCAAAATAAGAAAATGTTGATAGTAAACAGATTAAAAATTTGTGGTTTTAAAATAAAAATATATTATTTAAAAAATAAAAAATAAAAATAAAATAGCACTATATTAACTTGTTTTAGCAAGTTCTTTTAATGTATGCTAGGTATACATTTCATATTTTAAATTTAAGTTATAATTTATGATAATATTTATCTTGTGATCTCATTTTTTGTTAATTAGTTATGCTATTGGGCTCATTTAGTCTATTTATATAATTATTTATTATTATTTTTTGTAGAATCTAAAACCCAGTTAACAAATATCATAAGAGTATTAAATGTTCAAATTATTTTTAAAGTTTTTAATACATTTAAAAAAAACATATAATAATTATTATTTTTAAAGATTTATTAATAAAAATGTTTCAGATTAGCTCAATGTGTCCGGGTAGCAATGGCATTTTCAATATTTTTGTCTTATGGTCTTCAATTCTATGTTCCAATTGGTATTATATGGCCTGCTTTAAAAGGATATTTCCACTCACAGTCTAGTCAACGTAATGCTGAATTGAGTATCAGAGTGTTTCTCGTCACACTAACATGTAAATATCATGTTTAATATACTTTTACTATAATTATGTTCATAATCTATACTCTGTATAATGAGAGAATACGCCAAGGCCAAACAAATCAATGCTTCTGCACATCCCCATATAACAGATTCATAGTGTAACCCGGGTGTCATACAGGGATACACAGAATCAATGTATTGTCTCACTTGACAAAGTTTATATAGTTTTAGTACAAATGTATTATTTACTAAATACTAAAAGCATTTTTTTTTTTGTGTATTATAGTTGCTTTAGCTGCTGCCATTCCAAACCTATCAGCAATCATTTCATTAGTTGGATCATTTAGCAGTTCAGCATTAGCTTTAATATTTCCACCTATTATTGAAATTATGACATTTTGGGATCATTGCTCTGGCAAAGAGTTTACGCTGATGTTGATTAAAGATATTATTATTATTATAATCGGTTTTCTTGGATTTGGTTTTGGATCGTATGCTAGTTTATGGAATATTATTGAACCCGTAAGCAGTTAATTTAGCATTGGGTATAAAAATGCTTCAAATATCCACCAGTATTTCAATTATTGATCTTGATAATTTATTGTCTTCCTAAATCAATTATAATTTTAATTTTTTTTTTTTAATTATATGAAGTAGGTAATTGTGTTTTTAAAGTATTTGTTAAAAAATCCAAAAATGATCATTATTTTCAAATTTTTTTTATTTGAAATGACAACTGTATAATATTAAACTTTATCTTTATGATAATTTATTTAACATCAAAGTTTGCTAGTATCAAAATGTATTTTAAATGGTATTAGTTATCATCTACTATTATATTTTTAAAACTTATTTTAAAATTAAGATTTCTGAAAATGTATCAACAATTGAGTTCATAGATACATTTTCAGTTCTTAAAATTGTTTACTTTGTTTTTATGCCTGTTTGGTTTTAGTTAAACTATTAAACTATTAAACCATTATAACTAAAATTTTTACCTTGAACGATATAATCTCACGTTTTTAACCACCTATGAATATGTGATTATTAGTTTTAATAACTATTGTTAAATGTTGATTTTTTTAAGACTAGGAAGAAATCATAAGAAATACATTCCTATGAATCCAAATATCTATTGCTTGATTATAATATGTTTTAATTAATATTAATACTGATATTTTATATAATTATTGAAATGTTATAATTTAACTGAATTTTTATTATTGTATTAATAAAAATAATAATATATAATATGATGAAATTTGAATCACTAATTCAGTAAACTATCAAAAATAAAGACAAAAAGAACAAATTAAACATTTAAATATCAAATATTTAGAGAACATAATTTTAACTAATGTAATGAATATTTTAAGATTTTAAGTTCAACAAATTGGAGATTATATTATTCAAATCTATGATAAATTAATGTATACTAAATAAGCTATGTGTATCTTATAATATAATTAACATAATATTTCATATTTTATTAATTTATTTATTGTTATATTCAACATTCTAGTGTTCAATACATTTTATTTTATATCTTCGTTACTCTGTCCTAAACTTTAAATATTTACCATAACATTATTAGTATAGCATATAATTTATTTTATTACTTATACTATTATGATACATTATATACAAATTATACGTATACATTATATACCTAGTTTATATTTAAGACTTACAAAAATATTATTATCATTAATATATTATTATGAATATTATTAAACTTTATTCAAAACAATTTTGTCTTTCATGTTAATTGTATTATTGGATAATAAGAAATTCATGACAATAAATTTGCAACTAAGACTTCTTTTACTTCATAATTTATTATTATTTTTATAATTTCAAAATAATAAATAACTGTTGGTTGAAAAATAATAAAACTTAAGACAATCAACAGTTATTACTTATTATAATCCAGGTTTTAATGATTGGTATCTAATGTCTACTTTTTGTTAAATACTCTTTTATACATTAAAGAGTTGGTGAATTTGTATTATAATTTAATTGCATAGATGCGATGAATCTATAATAATATAATATAAAAACAAAGTAGCGTAAAACAAATGGGTATCAAATGGTTAATAAACAATACGATATAAAATTTCCAATATTTTGGGATATATATCAAAAGTCTCTAACTCACATGTAATTAAAGTCACAACTACACATGAAATTTAAATTTATGGAAGTAAATGAATTTATTTCATGTGCATTTCTTTATTAATACGTGTGAAATTTTATTTTTAATGCATTTAGTATATTCCAATGGTTTCTAATTTCTACAAAGCTATTATTGATAATCATTTATTTATTTTAAACCTGAAACTTTTGCTTCACCCATAATGTATTTTTATAATAGTAGTGCTTTTGAAACAATTAGTTTTAAAATAGTAGGTACAAATATTTTTAGCTCTTATAGCAATTATTAACATTCCCAAATATTTTTTAATATTAAATTATAATGTAATATATTTAATAAATATTATATTTTAAGTAAATATCTGTGATTTACTAATTGATTACCTGTGAATAAAAAATCTGTGTTCAAATCCAAGAACTCAATATATAAATAGGCCTCAGAAAAAGTTTTATTTTATTTTTACAAGTAAAATCTAGTAAACAACTCACATAAATTATAATTTAAATGTATGATAGGTATAAGTATTAAATAATAATAATAAAAAAAAAAAATAAACATTCAGTCTTATCACAATTTGGTTTTAATGGCAACAGTTTTATTATAATAAATTGATAAATAAATTAATGTTAATAATAAAATGTAATACTGTCAATTCAAGTATAGAACATTTTAGAATATTTGTATCAATGCCATATAGTTATTTACAAATTGAATTACAATGTTTAAATAAGTTACATACCTAAAATATAATTTTTGTACAATAGTAAATTTTTATTTAAAGTTTTTTTGCAGTAAAATTATTAGATATTTTGTGTATCTTTTTTAAAAATTTATTTTGTTGCCATTTTCTTCATTTACTTGATATTTGTAGGATTCTTAATCTGAAAAATTTTGAATATTTTGTAAAATTTATTATTTAAAAAAACAAAACTTCATCAACTAATATAATATAATATGGCTCATACATAAATATAAATTATTGTTATGTTACACTTATAACTTTTTTACACCAAAAAAAACATATTTTAAAAGCAATTTCAAAATAAATATAAATAACATATATTTTTTGAAATTACTATTGAAGTAATTTATTTTACTAATATTATGATAGGTTAAAATTTAATTCTTGCTAAAAACATTGCATTTATTATATTATTATTATTATAATATATATTTATACAATATTATGAATATATAATTAAAACCTATATTAATTTTTGAAATAATACCATTTTACCATAAAACAATGTAAGTAGGTTTATGGTATAAACAGGAAAAAATAAAATAAATTCATGAATTAAATATCTTAAAATTAACCTATATATTTTGAAAATATTATTGTACATAGTAAAATTTATAACATATTATGTAGAAGTTTGAGTTTCCACAAATATTTTCAAATTATAAGAAAAAATAGTGAACATTGTTATTAATTATTTAAATATATGATTTCATCCAAATTTGGGTTCAAATGTCTAAAAAAACATACTTCTGTTTATATAATTTTTAGTTTCAGTTTAATATACCAATAATTAGTCATGTATTACATTTTCAAGGTTTTTAATCAAGCAAACATTTTTTTATTCACAATTTAAAAAAAAAATTATCAACAATTTTAATTTTTTATAAATAGCTTAAAAACTTTCAAAATATTTAAAAAATTATATTATGTATAAAATATTATAACAAATACTTGAAAATATCAAGTAACTGCAGTTATTTGTTTTTAAATTATAACTGTATTTATAAGTAACAAATATAAAAATTAAATATTTAAAGTAACAATTAAACAAAGTATATTACCACTTGAATAACTTAGATTTTGTTTGATTTACTGCGAGTTATCTCTCTTTTCTAACTTTTTTTCTGTATTTTTTTTTTATCTAAGTTCTCAACAATTCACTAGTTTTCTTAATGTTTTCTATTAGTTATTGACTTTATCTTTACATTTAAAAGAACACTTTAATCCCTTTGTTTTGACTTTTGCTGATGAATAAAAATCTAAAGCAATAAAATCACATAAAATTACATACAATTGTTATTAATATTAAAATCAAAATCATATTATAAATATAGTGGTGTTATGATTAAGCTTGTAAACTTTCTTGGTTTTAAGTTTTCCAAAATTGTCCAAATTTAGGTATACCACCATACTGGTTAGTACTTTTTTGTTTAGATTATAAATAAATTATAAAACAGTATTATATTTTAATAGATGATTAAAATTGACTGATTAAAATTATATAAAAAAAAAAAACCATGATAAATTCCTTTAGTTTAATCATTATAGAACTTAACCTTTTTATACTATAGAACAAAATTAAGTATAGTTATTTTATAATTTGTATTTATCAGGGTAATTATTTTTCTTTATTATTAGTGAATTGGATACTTTATTTATAATGTATAGTAAATTTGTCTTGTGCTACTATAAAATATGATGCTGTCCACACCTGTCTACCACCAGAAATGCAGCACTTAAATGATCTTAAAAAATAGCTAAATCTAACTAAAACTTTATTTATGGCATATTAACAGGCATACCATGCTAAAAATTTTCTGAAGAAATAAAAAACACAATTTTAAAATATATCTATTCACAGATTCAGGTAACAATCAAGGAAATAGTATATGAAATGTTGCAAAGAAATATTTTATTCGCTTATTATAAAATATTTTTTAAGGAAACAAATGGAAATTGTTAAGTAAGGTAAGAATTATCATGATTTATCATTGTTTTTACTCAAGTGTTTAAACCAATTAATATTCCTACCTAATTGAAATTAATATACAAGAATAAATTTAATTAGTAAAAAGATATAATTGAATTACAGAATAGTTACAATTTTTTTGGAAACTGGTAAAATTGAAGGCTTTCACTCCATTTATTTGATTTATTGTTAGCCATTCACGTCCTTGAAATATTTTAAATGTTTATTGTTTATTAATATAATGAATCAATAAAATATATAATTTTATGATAGTGATAAATAATAACTCTCACATGCTGACATATTTGATAAACTATTTGAATTTATATTTGATATGTATAATATTAAATTTTACATAATCAAATATTCCTAGATATTATTTTTTTTCTAAGTGAAAAACTGAATGACTGTGATTGAAATATGATATTTAGTGCATTTTTTTTATACATAGCGATTTGTATAACATAACTTATACAACCTCTCAACTTTCTACAGCAAAATTTTACAGTTAATAAAGTGTACAAAAATCACTGCATACATTATGATATGTACAATTTCAAACCTGGTACGTAACATATGCAAACTAAAATTATTCAAAATACAAAGAGATTTTCCACTCTTCTTGTTTTATTTACTTTTATAAATGAGCTCTGCTTATAAAATGTTGTATTATAAGATTCAAACGATCATCTTGTTGAATTGAAGTGATGTTCATATTTTCATTACTCAGGTAAATACACCTTTCGTATATGAAAATTAACAATATATTCCAAGTTATCTCTCTG